TTCCAGGTAGGGGCAGGTGGCGTAGGGGCATTGGTGGGAAGACTGTGTCCAAATACTGCTTCATTGCTGGGGCGTCAACATGCTTGGCTGCAAACACCTTCGACCAATGAGACTGAATAGCGCTGTGCATGTCCATGGGGTCGTTGACGACAGTAGGGCCTCTGCTGTCAGTGATGCGGACACCTGCGAGAAACAAGCTCTTCGAGAACGGCTTCCAAATCTCGCTGCGCTGTCCAATACGGCGAGCATGACGACGCCATCGCTCACCAAGGTCGGGTCGTTGTTCCGCGTAGGCAGCTCGCGAGCGGGCAGCAGCGGCGCGACGTCGTTGTTCCGCGATCTGGAACTGCGTGGCGGAGTGCTCGGTCTCGAATGCGATGCGGTCGACAAGCGAGATCTTGCGGTGACAAATGTCGATGTGCTGTGCCCCTGCAGCGGTGACCTCTCGAAGTCGCTGGGCAAGAGCGAGGTCCTGGTACCAGACGGCCCTGGCAATACTGCGTAGTGTGAGTGCACGCGCCTCAGCTATGACTTGCGGGTCTTCATTTCGGCACTCGAGTGGCATGATCTCGGAGGCGGAGACAGAGGTAATGGTGTCGCGAGCCTTGCGCGCCGCCACTTTCATTATGTGCTTCATTGTCCTCCAGTTTGAGATGGGGTCAGCTGAGAGGTCGGCCATCTCGACAAGGCGATTGTAGTGGAACTTGTAGTGCTTTGATTCGAAGAGGAAGGCAGGGATGCCGCGCTCGCTGACTGGACGTGGCTGACGAGGTCGAAGCCGTAGATGTAGCATCTTGCGGTCGCTGATGGGCCCCCCTTCTCGGTCAAGCGGTCGGCCATCGGCAACGAGAACTGTCTCGATGCGCGGGATGTTGGATGCGTTGATCGAGGCGAAGCACCTGTCGATGGTCGTTTCCGCCATGTTGGCCGAGCATCGATGCGCGGTGGCCTTCGCTGTGATTGTTATCATATGTGAGCAGATGTTCTTCCAAAAGACAGGCTGGTAGCGATAACGCTCGGCGGTGGAGGCCGCGGCGGGGCGAAGCAGGCTCTTCGGCGGCGTCTGGGCGATATTGAAGTCGCCAATCATGTAGTAGTCGTGGTTGTCTGGGCGGAGTGCTGAACGTTGAGCAGCTGCTTGCCGCGCAGCTTTGAAGCGTTGACGGTCGGATCCGCTGAGGTCGCAGTTGTGAATGTTGAAGATTGTTGTCTCGTGCTGTCTTGCCCCGTCTTGAACGCGTAGCTCACCAATGCGACCAGGGACGATCACGCGCAATGAGCGTAGAGGTCGTTGGTCAGGAGGCAATTGGAGTTCAGCTCGATCAAAGGGAACCAAGAATGCGATCCCGCCTGCGGTCCCCGAGGACTGGCCGTCAGTCACGAGCGTTGAGTGGAAGGCGATGTACTTGTGCTCGGAGTTCGCGGCCAGGAGGTCCATGTCTATGCTGTTGCCGCGCGTCTCTTGGATGGCGATGACCGCTCGCTGCCGCATGTAACGGAGCAACAGCTGTCGCTTGAGGGCCCGTCTTGACACCGATCTGCCATTTAGCGCCTGCGCATTCCATGATACCAAGTTGAGGCCGTCCACGCGTGGTTTCGTGAACCACGGCGCCCATCGCATGCTAAAGCCACCGCGCTGCCTCCAATGGGTTGGCGAATGCGGCAGCCAGCGCGGAAGCCAATGGCTCACGCTCGGTGATAAGGATGCCAGCGGGGGCAGCAGCGTCAGACCAGCGAATTTGAGCGGCGGCATCGGGAGTAGCGCCAGCTGTGACCTGGACGATGGGAGCGCCGTCGATGGACAAGAAGCCTCCAGAGCGGTGACCCCGAGTCTCGAGCATGGGGAACTTGTCGGTGATGAGCTTGTTGAGCTTTTTGAGCTGAACTTCTTGACGTACCATGCGCGGCGACTTGTCCGCGGAGACGTAGAGGGCAGCGAGGCCAGAGTCCGATTCCACCTGGAAGCGACGCCATTCACGACCTTGCCGAAGTGCGCGATGTAGGGCATGGGCCCGCGGGAGAGCAATCGAGTTGCCGCCAGTGAGTGTAAACGAGATCCTCCGCGCAGGGCCCTCCGAGTTGATGCGGAGCGCGTTGATGTCCACGTCGGCAGCTTCGAACCAGGGGGCGAGCGCAGCCTTGAGTGAGGCGACGGAGAACTCTGAGGCAGCCCCGCACCAGAAAGTTGCAGCATTCGGCGGGCGGTCCCAGGCACCCAAGGCGTCCAAATCCATGGCTGGGTGAAGAGCCTCGGCATGACGAAGTGCTTGTTGGAGGGCGTCCACGCTGGCCTTGAGCTCTCCTTGGAGACGTTCAGCACGGTCAGCACGACCTTTGAGTTCAGTAATGTCCCTCTCGGCAGACTCCTGGCGGTTGCTGAGCTGTTCGGTGAGCTTCGTGATGTTGGCCAGGAATTCAGCTTGAGCGGCAGCTGCAACTTGCTTGGATGTGGCTTCAAAAGCGGCGGCGGCTTTGTCGACCTGGGTCTGGAGGAGATCGGTGAGCACCTTACGCTGGTGTGCGGGGAGGTCGAACGCGGCAAGCTTCTGAGCTCCAGCGGCCCAGGGATCGGCAGCAGCTGTGTCCTTGCCCTTGCCCTTGTCGGGGGAGTCGGCCCAGGAATCGGCGGAGCTGGCAACACCAGGCACACCCATCGCGATGCTATCGTGCGCAGGGCAGACGCTGGTGGCGAGAAATATGCAAGCTGCGTCTCAGCAGCGAAGGATATGGAGATGCACAACGCCGAGGGCACGGCGAAGGCGGAAAGCAGCGGTCCTAGCAGTCCCCGGACCAGGGGTCTCCGTGCTCTGCCACGGGGCACAAACATCTTGAGCCAAAATGGCTACGGAGCTGCGCAAGGAGAAGGAGGAGGAGGAGGAGGAGGAGGAAAGGACTGATACGAAAAAATCCCGATTCGTATCATCTATCAAGTCCACGACCGCAACAGTGCACTGGACAGCGTGGACGGCAGCAGCAACAGCAGGGAGAGGGAAGCAGCAGCCGAGAGAAGCCGAGGACGGACGACAAGGAAGACGGCAGCAGAGCAGGCAAGCCAGAGAGCAGCACGGAGAGGAGCAGAGAAGCGAGCGAGAGAGGCGGCCGCAGAGCAGGAGGGAAGAAGGGAAGGACGACAACGGGAACCGGCACCAAGCAGCAGCAGCAGAAGCCGCGGCAGAGGGACGGGAGACAAGGAAGCGGCAGGCCAACAGATACTAGGTGGCGCGCACGACCCCCTGGCGGTGTGCGGCCCAGAAACCCCGAACAGCGGACACGCAAAATCTGATGTCAACGCTACAGAAGGTGTGCGAAAAATTGCGAAACAGGCGCGGCGGCGCCGCAGCCTGAGCGCACCGCGCGCTGCCCAGGCAAAACCGGGCCGGGCTGCCGACGCAGCGCCGCGCTAATGGCGGAGCCGGGCAAGCAGTGCGGGCCAGCAGGCGTGAGCACCGCGCGGCGGGACATGCACGGGGAGCGGGAGGAAGGAGGAGAGGAGGAGAGAAAACTCCAGAAACGCAATCAGTTCCATCCGTGCGCGCGGTCAACAATCCTCTCTGAGCGGCCGTGCCCGCGCACCGCCTCGCGGCACGACTGGTCGAGGGCCTCCATCGCCGCCGGCCCGCGCGAAACTTGGCCGTGGCGACACTGACAATGCGTGCGATACGCCGCGGTTGCGCGGACCGCCACGCAGACCGCCCTCGCCGGGTCGCTGTTCGCCCGGAAATCCAATCCGAGGAAGGAGGACAATCGCGCGCCCGGCAAAGCAACGCGCGGCAGGCCCAGCCGCCTTCCTGTCACCTCGTGCAAGCGCGGGCAGGTGGCGTAGTGCTCGATGGAGTCCGGCGCCTCGTCGGAGCACCGAAACATGCAACCAGCTAGGCCCCTTGCACCCTGCGTACGCCTGCTTGTGGCCCAGCCATTCCATAGCGTGCGCCACGTCGCCGCCCAGACTCGTGGCGGTGCTCGTCCTCGCAGTGCCTGTAAGAACTCGATGCAGCGGGATACCCGGATCCGAGGGAGCTCTGGCACGCGCCACCTGCTGAGTTTGTGCCGGATACGCACCTCCAACTCGAGCGTCGTCACCTGGGGTAGTGAGGCTGCTGCGGTCCGCTGGAAGGTCGCCTTCACGAGCTGCGCCTGCTGCCGCGTGAGGGGCCGCGGGATCGCGGCTTCTAGCGAAGGGCTCTGCGCTCCACATCCTGGGGGGCAACCCCGCGCAACTCGAAGTGGCCGGCCGAAGCGTCCAGCTGCAGCAGGAAGGAGTGGGCGAACCAATCGGCCCAGGTAGCCTTCATCACCACGTCGTCCGCCGCCAGATGGGCGCGCCGCAGCCCCGCCGCGCGCTGTCGAACTCGCAGTCCGCCAGTGCTAGCTGCTTCCAAATGATATACCCGGAACTGGGCCGCCCGCGTCCGCGCGCCCATATCCACGAAGGCTTTGGGGAAGCCCAGCAAATCGATGTGCCGGAGGTCGCTGGGGCATCCCCATTGGCTGATGCCAGGCACAAGCGCGCGGAATGCCTCGGCCTCCACAGCGGGCCAGCGCGGGGGCAAGCCATCGAGTTGAATCAGACAACACACATACACAACGCACACAACACACATAACACACACACACACACACACTGGAAACAACAAAACACAACACACAACACACAGCACACAGAACACAACACAAAAGACACAACACGCAACACGCGGTACACAATACACAACACACAACACACAACGCAGCACGCAACACACAGCACTCAACACACAACACACAACATACATTACACAACACACATAATACACAATGTTACGGATTTATCGTGTTCGGCCTCGGGTAGCCGTTTGCGGGCCAAGAGGCCGTCAGAAACTATCCAGGGCGAAATGCCGGTCCTCTGGAATGGGTCAGGGCCCCTGCGCACGTCGTTTTTGTCAAAGAAAGGAAGGACCTTCTGTTGCTGGCTCGAATCGCAGCACACTTCTTCGACACCCAACATGTGCCCCCCCCACGACCCCTCCTCAGCGCAAAGCGCGGCGCAAGCCATCCAGGCTGCGAGCTGGAAAGCGCGGCGGCAATCAGCGCAGCCGCAGCCGCGACAACGGCGACTGGCGACCTGGCGGAGAATGCTGATTCGACACCGCGCACTACAGATACACACGATTAGAAATCTCGCTGTGAGAGGTGTACGTCGACATTGGCTTGAACTTTAGGGTGTCCAAGGTGTAATGATTTTTCGCGGCGCACCAGATGGCAGGCGTTGAGGTGGCGACTGTATGGGTCCAGGATGAACGGCTTGACGTCCGACGTTGTGACTTGATTCGGCGAGTGGCCCCTGTACCTTTCGAGCCTCCCCGGGGACCGCTTTTTCATCCTGGACTTGCTTTAACTGCTACGCTGTTCCGGCACCCGAGAGCAGCCCTTGGAGGTCGAAAGCGGCGAAAAAATAGTCGCTTTGATGCCACATGTCTGAGAACTCAAAACGTTGACAGCCTCGTTCAGGCGTCATCTTGACCGGGCTGTCGAGCTGCTCCGACGGGGATGACGAGGACCCCCCGCCCAACCGAAACCACCTTCTATGATGTTCACCTTGACGCTGAAAACCAAAGTCTCAGCAGATCTTGGCGCCACGGAGGGACATGGCAACCTGGAGTGGCATAATGGTAGAGGCTGCCATGTCTGCATCGACAAGAAACGGAAGGCGTCTGACAAGAACGGCCGCGTACACAATTTTCGCCCCCGTCCTAAGGACTGACAACCTGAGCCGTGACGACGTCAGTCTCTGTCTTCAGTCCTCCTCCTCCTCTTCCTCCTCCTCCTCCTCCTCCTCCCCCTCCTCCTCCTCCTCCTCCCCCCCGTCACCAGATCCCCGACGTCATGATTTCTCATGACGTGGACCAACGGAGGTCTCGACTCATTCCCTGGGACCAGATTTTCATCCTGAAGCGTTTCTGACGGTCCCTGGACCTTGCGAAGGTCAGCACAGGCTGACAACGGCGATCAAGCTCAGCCTCGACGAATTTCGTCCTTGCCCTCCTTCCTCATCCTCCGTCCTCCTGGCTTCGATCCTGGGCGACCGGCGGGCCATGGCCGGCTGGCAGCTCTGGTGCCGCGCGGCGCACGCGGGCGGACGGCACGGCTGCCCGAACATCCGCTCCTCGTATCATCGCATGAGGGCCACGGGTCACAGGTACTGTCCACACGCTGAAGGCGTCTGTGCACCACCAAATGTGAGGCTTCGGGGCGGGTTAAGACAGCCCCCTAGTAGGGAAACAAACTTTATGAACCATCGCTTCTTCTGGCCCTGCATTGAAATTTGCACAAGAAAGCGGATCCTCGTGTATACGGGAGCCTGGTGTATACATTTTCTTGCGTTCCCCTGGGGAACGGAAAAAGAGGTAATCATACATCACACCACCCCGACATTGTCCCCGACCCTCAAAAAGTCCTGGGATTGGAAAGCAGCCCGCCACTGGTACTGTATATGTTCTTCTTCCACCCTCGGTAACCCCCTGCCGTTGATAAAATTATAGCCGGAGTGCAGTATCCCCAAACAGGGTTTTTAGACCCACTGCGGTTTCCAAGGTCGATTGCGTGCCCGCCTAGTGCGGGCTGGCATGGCATGTTAAAACATGCCTCCTCCTCCTCCTCCTCCTCCTCCTCGTCCACCTCCTCTTCATCCCGAAAGGCATCTCGGAACCCAGAATTGCGAGGATGTCTCCAGCGTAACGGGCTGGACCACCTCGCGCGCGGCATTTCGGACCCCAGAGTTGCGACGATGTCTCGGGCGAAACGTGCTGCGAGGAAGTCTCAGGCGAAACGGGCCGGACCACCTCGAGCGCGGCGTCTCAGAGCTCCGAGTTGCGGGGGCCTCCTGGTGCCTCCTGGGGCCTCCTGGGGACCTCCTGGGGCTTCCTCCCGGGCCTCCTGTGGCCTCCTGAACTCCACCTGAGGTTTCCTGAAGCATCTTGGGGCTCCCAGGGGGGATATCTAACCTGTGGCCGTTTGGGCCTCTCCAAATACAGGGGGGGGCCACAGGAGCAGGAAAAATCAACGAATCGACACCGGATGTGTATTAACTTGACACGTTCTGATAGAGGGCCTCCTGGGGCCTCCTGGGAGCCTCCTGGGAATCTCCTGGAGACCCCTGGGGCCTGTCCTGGGCGTCCTGCGGCCTCCTGAAGCTCTCTGGGACCTCCCCCTCCTCCTGCCTGCTCCCTCATGCACATCATCCGCCTCCTCCTTCTCCCTTCCATTTCCTCCTCCTCCTCCTCCTCCTCCTCCTCCTCCTCCTCCTCCTCCTCCACCTCCTCTTCATCGCGAACGGCATTTCGGAGCCTAGAGTTGCGAGGATGTCTCCAGCGTAACGGGCTGGACCACCTCGCGCGCGGCATCTCGGACCCCAGAGTTGCGACGATGTCTCGGGCGAAACGTGCTGCGAGGAAGTCTCAGGCGAAACGGGCCGGACCACCTCGAGCGCGGCGTCTCAGAGCTCCGAGTTGCGGGGGCTTCCTGGTGCCTCCTGGGGCCTCCTGGGGACCTCCTGGAGCTTCCTCCTGGGCCTCCTGTGGCCTCGTGAACTCCACCTGGGGTTTCCTGAAGCCTCTTGGGGCTCCCAGGGGGGATATCTAACCTGTGGCCGTTTGGGCCTCTCCAAATGGAGGAGGGGGGGGGCACAAGAGCAGGAAAAATCAACGAATCGACACCGGATGTGTATTAACTTGACACGTTCTGATAAGCGGCCTCCTGGGGCCTCCTGGGAGCCTCCTGGGAATCTCCTGGAGACCCCTGGGGCCTGTCCTGGGCGTCCTGCGGCCTCCTGGTGCCTCCTGGGCCTCCTGGGGACCTCTGGAGCTTCCTCCTGGGCCTCCTGTGGCCTCCTGAACTCCACCTGAGGTTTCCTGAAGCATCTTGGGGCTCCCAGGGGGGATATCTAACCTGTGGCCGCTTGGGCCTCTCCAAATGGAGGGGGGGGCACAAGAGCAGGAAAAATCAACGAATCGACACCGGATGTGTATTAACTTGACACGTTCTGATAGAGGGCCTCCTGGGGCCTCCTGGGAATCTCCTGGGGGCCCCTGGGGCCTGTCCTGGGCGTCCTGCGGCCTCCTGGACCTCTCTGGGGCCTCCTGAGGCTCGCAGGGTCCCATGGAGGATATGTAACATGTGGCCTTCTGGGCCCCCAGGCTGGACCACCTCTTGCGCAGCATCTGAGAGCTCAGAGTTGCGAGAATATCTTGTGCGAAACAGGCCGGACCACCTTGCGCACGGCATCTCAGATCTCAGAGTTGCAAGGATTTCTCAGGCGAGACGGGCCGGATCACCTCGCGCAGGGCATCTCAGAGCTCAGAAGTTCGAGGATGTCTCAGGCGAAACGGGCCGGACCACCTCGCGCGCGGCATCGGGGAGATCAGAGTTTCGAGGATGTCTCAGGCGAAACGGGCCGGACCACCTCGCGCGCGGCATCTTGGAGCTCAGAGTTGCGAGGATGTCTCAGGCGAAACGGCCCGGACCACCTCTCGCGCGGCATCTGGGAGCTCAGAGTTTCGAGGATGTCTCAAGCGAAACGGCCCGGACCACCTCTCGCGCGGCCTCTCAGAGCTCAGATTTAGGAGGATGTCTCAGGCGAAACGCTCAATCCCGGACAACTCAGAAACGAGAGTTGTGAGGATGTCTCAGGCGAAACGGACCGGACCACCACATTTGTTTGAGGATGTCTCTGCTTAGCTTTCCCTCGGCCGGAATTAGCTTCTATCACAACAGCACCCCGTTCAGCAAGCTGTTTGGGGAAAAAGGACCCCCCCCTTTCCAGGCTAGAGTTGATTATACACGGCCAAGAAGAGTTTGGTCAGGGGCGCGGGGCGCGGAGGCCGAACTTGTTTATCACTGTGAAAAGTTCACCATCGAGGTTAACTTCCTTCTTATGTTGAGATAGCAACATCAAACGAAGCGAAGACGTTCAAGCGAAACCAACAGCGTTGTCTTTATCTCTCTCTCTCTCTCTCTTCTGTCTGCTCTTCTCTTTCTCTTTCCGTTTCCTCCCCCCCTGCCCCACCTGAACTTGTTTTATCGCTGTGGTCTACTATCCACGAACACCGAAGCACGTGAGCTACCCTACACGAGCAGATGACAATCTGAATTCCCACGGTTGCTTACAAAAATAAATAGGTTTGGAACTTTGACGTTTCTCCTCCTCCTCCTCCTCCTCCTCCTCCTCCTCCTCCTCCTCCTCCTCATCCACCTCTCTCCTTTTGTCTGTCTATCTTTCTCTACTTCTCTCTCTCTCTCTCTCTCTCTCCCTCTCCCTCTCTCTATATATAATCCCACCAGCCCTTTTCGCGTAGGTGGTTTAGGGAATTTCCTCTTCCACCCCTCCTTCTTCCCCTTCGGGGAAGGGTTTACCCCTCCCCCTAACCCCCTCCCCTGGACCTGGACGGGGGGGTTCGCTGGTAGTTGGAGCGTCCAAAACGGCCTCGGCGAGGAAGCCAAAATCATCGGTTTTACTACGGCTTTGGCCGATTTTAGAGGCTCCCGAGGGGGGGTGCTAATTGAGGGACCCCCTTCCTTTGATCGATCACCTCCAAGATGGCCCCAAGAGCGCTCCCAAGGCTCCCAAGAGCGCCCCAAAAGGGCCTCAAGAGGCGCCCAGGAGGCCCCAAGAGGCGACCAGGAGGCCCCAAGAGGCCTCCAAGAGTCCTCCAAAATACCCCCAAGAGGCCCCCAAGAGGCCCCAAGAGGCTCCCCCGAGGCACCCAAGACGGTCCAAGAAGCTCCCGGGACCGCCAAGAGGCCCCCAAGACGCCCCAAGAGACCTCAAAGAGTATCCCAAGAGACATCCCAAGAGACTCCGCGAGGCATTCAAGAGGCCTTTGACTCTTCTGATCGCCCTTATCCTCCTCCTCCTCCCCCTCATCATCACCATCATCATCATCATCATCATCATCATCATCATCATCATCATCATCATCATCATCATCATCAGCATCATCATCATCATCATCATCATCATCATCATCATCACCATCACCATCACCATCACCATCACCATCACAATCACCATCGTCATCACCATCGTCAAGACCACCACCATCATCGTCATCATCAGCATCATCAATATCAACATCAACATCATCGTCCGCCTATTCCTCCTCCTCCTCATTCCTCCCTCCCCACCCTCATCATCCTCCTCTTCCGCCTCCGACTCCTCCTCCATCCCCCCCCCCTGGGGGTACGACGGCCTCCCCAGCCCCTTGTTCCTCTGTATGCTGCCCCGCTTCCATGATCACCTCTACTCGCCTGGGCGTCGTTTCTGGATGGGCTGGTCGGGATATTTTTTTTTGTTTTTATGGCCGCAGGCGAACGCGCCAGCGGCGGGCGAAGTAGGTCGGGCCGCGACCGGCTTAAATTACCGACGGCTAACGCGCGCGACTAGGCGGCCGCGGCGGCGCCGGATGCAGCAAGCAGCAACTGCGGCGAGGGTGAGGCTGATCCCAGGGAGAGCAGAACCCTGGTGGGGATACGCGAAGCGTCAAGAATTATCTGTATCTTTCTGTCTCTGTCTCTATCTGTCTTCCTCTTTCTCCCCCTGGCACCCTGAACTTTTTTATCGCTGTGGTTTACTATCCACGGAAACCGAGGCACATGAGCTACCCTACACAAGCAATGATGTCTCAAGGGAAACAAAACGATCCTCGATCCTCGGACATCACCGCCGTCGATCCTCGGACCTCGATCCTCGACTCTGGGATCTCGATCCTCGGATCCTCGGACTTCGATTCTCGATCCTCGATCCTCGGCGTTCGGTCCTCTCAACATCATCTCTTTCTCCTCCCACATGCTGGCCTCCAGTAGGTAACATGTATAATCCCCCCGCGACCCAAAACTTTATTATCCCTGTGGGATTATTCTCCGTGGGACAGGGTTAGTCCCGGTTGGCCTCGACAGGTCACCCGAGCAGTCCCAGAGCGTCAAAAGGCCTCCCGAGCAGTCCGGCGCGGTCTCAACGCTGGGGCGCTCTGCGCCCCAGGGTTTGAGGTGCTGAGACCGCCCCGGGCTACTGAGGGGGCCTGTTGAGGCCGGCTGGGGCTACTCGGGGGGCACGTTGAGGCCAGCTGGGGCTACCTGGGGGGGCGGTCTGTGCGCAACCCGAAGCCTTACCATGTGCACCACCGACATGCATGAAATTTTTCGAGGGCTACAGTCCATGCGCTCGTCCATTCACGATGTAGGTGGCCTCCAA